AATCCTCAGCACAATATTTTTTTTAACTGAGATATAATTAGCATGACATAAAATTTACCCATTTAAAATGTACAACTCAGTATACTCACGGAGTCGAACAGTCATTACCGCTATCTAATTCCAGAACATTTTCATCACCCTAAAAGGAAACTCATTAGCAGTCACTCTCACTTCTTCCGTCTTCCCAGATCCAGGCAACCACTAATCTACTTTTTGTCTCAATGGATTTATCTATTCTGGATATTTCATATAAATGAAATAATACAATATATGGCCTTCTGTATCTGGCTTCTTTCACTTGGCATAATGTATTCAAGGCTCATAAGTGTTGTAGCATGTATCAGTACTTCATTTGTTTTTATGGCTGAATAATATTCCATTATATAAACATTTTGTTTATCCATTTTTCAGTTGATGGACACTTGGCGTTTTCACATTTTGACTATTACGAATAATGGTGCTATGAACATTCATGTGCAAGTTAAATGTCAACATATGTTTTCAATTCTTTTGAGTACATATCTAGGAGTGGACTTGCTGGGTCATACGGTAACTATGTTTAACCATTTGAGGAACTGCCAGACTATTTTGCAAAGCAGCTGCACCATTTTAAATTCCTACCAGCGATGCATGAAGATTCTAGTTTCTCTATATCCTTGCCAATGCTTGTTATTGTCTATATTTTTTATTCTAGCCATCCTAGTGTTGTGAAGTAGTATCTCATTGTAGTTTTGATTTACATTTCCCTGATGACTAACGTAACTTTCATTTACTTATTGGCCATTTGTCTATCTTTTTTGAGAACTGTGTATTCAAATCCTTTGCCCACTGTAAAAAACTGGGTTGTTTGTCTTTTTTTATTGTTGAGTTATAGACTTCTTTATATATTCTGTATACTATTTGTTATTGTTGCTAGGTGCCATCGAGTTTGTTCACAGCAACCCTATGTACAACAGAATGAAACACTGCCTGGTCCTGACCGTCCTCACAATTGTTGCTATATTTGAGCCCATTGTTGCAGCCACTGTGTCAGTCCATCTCATTGAGGGTCTTCCTCCTTTTTGCTGACCCTCTACAAAGCATGATGTCCTTCTCCAGGGGCTGATCACCCCTGATAACATGTCCAAAGTATGTGAGACAAAGTCTCACCATCCTTGCTTCTGAGGAGCATTCTGGCTGTACTCCTTCCAAAACAGATTTGTTTGTTCTTCTGGCAGTCCGTGGTATATTCATTATTCTTCGCCAACACCATAATCCAAATGCATCAATTCTTCTTCAGTCTTCCTTATTCATTGTCGAGCTTTCGCATGCATATGAGGCAATTGAAAATACCATGGCTTGGGTCAGGCGCACATTAGTCATCAAAGTGGATTTTAGCACTTTAAAGAGGTCTTTTGCAGTAACTTTTCCCAATGCAATATGTTGTTTGATTTCTTGACTGCTGTTTCCACAGTGGTTGATTGTGGATCCAAGTAAAATGAAATCCCTGACAATTTCAGTATTTTCTGTTTATCATGTCTACAGCCTTCAGTATGGATTACACCTCAACATAAAACAAAAATCCTCACAACTAGATACTAGATAGCTGATAAGTGATTTGCAAATATTGTCTACCATCCTGTGGGTTGTCTTTTCACGTCATTGATAGTATCCTTCAAAGCACAAAAATTTTTAATTCTTATGAAGCTCGTCTTCTATTTTTCCCTTCGTAGCTTGTGCTTTAGTGTTGTATCTAAGAAGCCAATTCAAGCTCACAAAGATTTACACCTTATATTTAAGCCTTTGATCTATTTTGAGTTAATTTTTTAATAGTTATGAAGTAGGGGTCCAATTTCATTCTTTTGCTTGTGAATATCTTGTTATTCTAACACCATTTGTGGAAAAGACTATTCTTTCCCTATTGAATAGTCTTGACACCCTTGTCAAAAATCAGTTGACTGATGGAAACAACCAAAATGTCCATCAACGGATGAATGAATGAACAAAATGTGGTATATACATACAATGGAATTAGAGCCTTGAAAACATCATGCTGAGCAAAACAAATCTGTCACAAAAGGACAAATACTGCGTGATCTTACTTATATGAAATAAGCAAATATATAGCAACCAAAGATTATTAGTGGTTAACAAGAGTGGTAGGGAGGGGGAAAGGAGGAGTTTTTGCTTAGGGGCGTTGAGTTTATGTCAATGGTAGTGGAATGATTTGGAAAAGAAGAGCAAGAATGGTTGCACAACTTGAAGATGTAATCAATGTCACTGAGTTTTACAAGTAGAAGCTGAGTTGCCCTGTGTTTTGTTATGTATATTTTCACCACAATTTAAAAAAAAGAAGAAGAAATCAATTGGCCATAAATGTTTGGGTTTATTTCTGGACTCTCAATTCTATTCCATCATCTATACTTATGCCAGTACCACACAGTCTTGATTGCTGTAGCTTTGTATTAAGTTTTGAAATTAGGAAGTGTGAATCCTCCAACTTTGTTTTTCTTTTCATAATTGTTTTGGCTATTCTAGGTCCCTTGCATTTCTATATGAATTTTAGGATCAGTTTGTCAATTTCTGCAAAAAAAAAAAAAAAAAAGCGAGCTGAGATTTTTGTTTGTTTGTTTTAGCCAGCTGAGAGTTTGATGGGGATTGCATTGAATCTGTAGATGAGTTTGGGGACTATTGCCATCTTAACAATGTTAAGTCTTCTAATCCATGAACACATGATAGTTTTCATTTTTTAAGGTCTTCTTTAAGTTCTTTCAATGATATTTTGTAGTTTTTAGTGTACAAGTCTTGCGATTATTTTGTTAGATTTATTCCTATTCTTTTTGATTCTGTTGTAAATGGGATTGTTTTACTAATTTTATTTTTTGATCATTCATGAAGCTCAGATAAGGAAATTGAGGCTCAGAGAAGTTAAGTAACCTGTCCAAGATCACATAGCTAGTTAACAATGGAGCCAAAATTTAAACCCAGCTCTGACTCCATATCCCATACTTATTCCCCTCTGCCTCCTTACCCTCTAAGGAGTGGATCAGCAATTGAGAACTCCTGCAAGGCTTCTTTTCTGCTTTCATTGTCTCAAACCACACAATAATGAGTGGTGGGCAGCGTGGGGGTTAGTGTTCCCTCTTTTACAGAAATGGACACTGAGGCCTAATGAAATAAAGTGACTTGGAAGAAGTGGGAGTCAAACTCTGCTCACTTGACTCAACTTTGTGCTTTGACAGAAGGAATAGGTCCCTTCACTGAGTAGCTAGATGTATTCAGAAAGGTTATGTGGGGGTTTCCTAAATGGGAATAAATAAAAACGATAACACAAATCCTGCACAACAGTGGGGGAACAAAAGTGTGCAGAGAAAAAAGCAGAAAAGCTTGAGGACAAGGTATATGGGATGTGAAAGGGAAGGGACAACGAAGGAGAGGAAAATGAATTGACATTTTGATTAGTAAAGAAAGTGTCAAAGGAAGAAAACCATCTCTTTACATGAGAGCACTTTCAGAGGATTTGTGATTTAAAAAATTTTTTTTGCTAAAAGAATCTCTTCTGAAAAAGAAAGAATGCAAATAGGTAATATAAAAATACTTTGTGAATATGTCCAGGTGGATCTAAAGGTGGCCCTGCCTTGAGACTGAGAGCTAGACAGAGTGTTTCCAGCTGCTCCTTCTGAGCCCATTGGAAGAACCTGTCACTGGAGAGGGAGCTCTTTGTGCAGATTTGCTGCAGGAATCCCCATCTCCGACCTTTCCTCACAGGCGTGGTGGGAGGATTAAAAAAAAATGCCATGAAAAAAAATCACATCACTCTTGCATGCAGAAGAGGCTTAGAGGCTCTGCAAATATTAGTTCCATTTCCCTTTCTTTTATGGGGTGCTAGGACTCAGGCCCTAAGCATTCCCCTGATATGAGATTGCAGAAATAGATTGTACTGCAATGGAGAAAGGTGGCCTTCTCCTCTCCTCCTCGTCCCAGCTCTTTCTAGTAATTCGCTTTCCATCTTTAACCAAATAACTTACGTATGCAAGTCTCTCCTGCCCCCAAGAAGGGTGAGATGGTTCAGATTCTTCCCTATGGAGAAGCGGGCCCTGGACTGAGCGGGAAAAGACCTGAGTCTTTGCCAGTACCTCTGTTTGTCTGGGAAGGGCAGGGGATAGGGGAGTTTGGCTGCTGCTTCCAGTGCAGGTCCAGGGGCTCATGTGAAGACAACTGTGGGGAAAGGAGGCCAGAGAGGCCCCTGAGGTGCAACAGGCCCCTGATGGTGGTCACCTGCTGAGAGGAAGCATTTTGGGATTCACAGGGGTATGACGCAGGCCTTGACCTCTAATTAGGAGATGAAATTTACACTTTGGGAAAGTTAGCCTCTCAAAGCAGACAGGGGAAGAACCTCGTGAGAAAGACGGAGGAAGCACCCTAGGAAGAAGGGAAGTCAATGCGAAGCCTTCCGGGAAGGATCTGCCAGGGCCTCGAGAGTCAACTACAGCTGAACTTTATGACAGGTGGGCAGGATTTGGACAAGCGGGCATTGAAACAGGGTGGGCATACTGAGAACACCAAGGCTGCCTGAATCCACGGGAGCTCAGGCTCTGACATCTGCACTCCAGAGCTGTCACTCTGTACCCTTGCTGGCTTTTCTCAGCATATCCCACATATTAACCTGTCTTTCTCCTCCTTCCCTACAATTCATCCTCTCTCTACTCCCCTGGTCTTACTCTTTCTGCCTAGCAAACTCCCATGCTTACTTAAAGACACAGCCCCAGCACCTCCTTCTAGGGGAGGCCTCACTTGGCTTCCAGGCTGGAGTAGGGCTCTTTCTCCTGTAGACTTGAGAGCACAGTGGGATGGCGGACACCCTTGTATTACTGACAGCCTCTGCCAGCAGGCCTGCATCGCCCCATGGACCGCTTCCTGGTCACCCTCCATTGGCCTTCAGCCTTTGGGAGGACAGGGCTGTATCTGATTGGTCTTGGTGTCTCCACCCCTTGGCCAGGGACCAAGCCTCAGGTGACTGGCTAAGAGGACCTCCCCACAACCAGAGGACCATTCGGGGCTGGGGGCAGGTTACCGTTTCCATCGGCTTTGTAGTCGTCAGGTAGGAGCTTGTCCTGCCGGTAGCCCAGTACGAAGGCCAGGAAGGAGAGAATGAGGGCGTCACCAATGCTGAGGATGGCCAGCATGAAGGCCCAGCGGATGGTGCAGTGACCCAGTGTGTACTTGCCCGTCTGCTCCCCACACATGCGCCGTACCTCACTTGAGTCCCAACCATCTGGGTAGACCAGGCAGCCAATCATCAGGCCTGTAGCTGAGAGGGCAAGAGGGGGTGCAGATGGTGTCAGGCAGGTGAGCCCTACCTGCTACCTCCCCCTTCCCTCACACTACTGTCGTCTTATCTCTCATCTCCTTGTGTCAGTAGCCTGAGAGGCACAGCTCCTGTCATCTTTCTTGTTCAGTGTGGGTGAGACAGTAGGCTCCAAGAGCTACAGTGACTTGCCCCTGGGACCAGCAGTTAGGGGCAAAGGCAGAGAGGGAGCGCTTCAGCCCAGGGAGGGTTCTCCACCACACTCCACCGTCCTACCAGACCCTCAAGTGCTTTCTTCCCCTTGGATTCAACCAGGCACCCTCTACCCTGGCTTCAGAGCCCTCCAGAGAACTCATTGCTCCTAAGCTGTGCACATCTGTTTGCATTTCAACATCTCTGAAATTAGAATTGTCTTAACTCAGTGTAATAAGAAAGCATCAGGTCATAGTTTGGTTAGCAGTGCAAAATAACGATGTGGGCGCACAAGTCAGGTATCTCATTCAATGAATACAGGAGGCTTTCTGGCCCCATCGCCTGCTGCTTCCTTCATGAATCTCCCACTCATGCAAACCAGTCTTCTCACCCTTACCCAGGACAGCACAGTGCAGTTGCCCACACTTCCCTGAATTTAAGAATCCCCTGGGATATTTGTTTAAAGTTCTGATTTCCAGGCATCTTCCCTGGAAATTCAGTTTCAGAAGGTCTGGGTTGGGCTGAGGAATTCGTGATTTAAACAAGCACCAGGTGATTCAATAAGCAAGTCTGGGAAACACCAAGCCAGACTGCTGGATTTCAAGCCTAGCTCTCCACTAACTAGCTATGTGACTCAGAGCAAGCTACTTCAGCTTTCATTACTATGGTTTCCTCATCTGTAAAACTGGAATACTAATAGAACCTACCTGTTGGAATTGCAGTGAGGTTCAAATGAGTTAACATTGGTAAAGTGCTTAGAACAGTGCCTGCTACATACTTAACACTTCATTATCCCATCCTATACCTTCACTGAGTCGGAATGTACTCGACGGCAACAGTTTTGGTTTGTTTTTTTTGGTATACCTTCACTGGAGTCCCTGTGTGGTGCAAACAGTTAACACGCTTGGCTGCTAACCAATAGGTTGAAAGTTCAAGTCCATCCAGAGGCACCTGAAAAATCAGCCACTGAAAACTCTATGGAGTACAGTTGTACTTTGACACGCATGAGGTTGCCATGAGTCAAGGTCAACTCCATGGCAACTGGTAAATGCCTTCATTGACTTGGGATTTAAAGTTACACATTCATTTGCTCCCACCTTACCCCACTTCTCCCATCCCGTCCCATTAAACCACTCCAAAGTCCATTCCTCCCACCCCTAGACCGTGACATCTCTCCAAAGGGCTGAATGTATTTAGTGGTAACATTTCAGACTGTGCGACAAACTGAGTAGTGTTTCAGGAAAATATTTAGGGTGGAAGAGGGGAGCCCTCCCAGAGCTCTGTTGTCAACCCTGTGTAGCCAGGCCCTTCCCGACTTGGTGTGAGACCAGCCCTTTAGTGCCTGGCATGGCCCCTAGCTTAAAGGGGGACCCCCACAAATGCTCGGTGCATAGGTGAATGTGGAAAGGAAGCTGCCTTTCTGGATTTTCCATCCTCCCCTCCACTCCTCCTCTTGGCCTCCTTTTTCCACAGCATCTCCTTATGAGAGCTCCAGAAAAGAGCCTAGGGCCTCTTGCTTGGAAATAGGTTGTGAGCATCCTACCCACCCAACTACGGCTCTGGGGTACAGTGGGGGTCTTCCCCATTTGTGGTGTCTCAGGGCTCTAAGTAGAGGCCTGCCCAGTGTTCTCAGACAATTTACTTAACCTTTCTGACTTCCATTCTCTCATCTGCAAAATAGGAATAACAATGCCTGCTTTATAGTGGGGTTATAAGGATTAAGTGTGATCATGTATGGAAAATGCTTGCTACAGTGTCTGGCACGTGGTAAGTGGCGAGTTAATTGTAGTTGTTGCTATTATTATTGGCATTGAAATCCAATGGAAGTAACCTTGGTGGATGTGGATATCATTAGAGCTGTTCACAAATATTCCAGGTACATACGAGTCGGAATTGACTCAACAGCAATGGGTTTGGTTTTGGGTTTTTTTGCCCTTCTTCCCTTCCCCACACTTGAAGTTAGGCAAGGCATGTGACCTCCTCTAGCCAATGAAATGTAAGCAGAAATGGGTGCACTTCCAGGCCAGAGCATTTAATTGCTGGTACAAGACCTTCCAGAGCTCCCTTTCCTTTTGTAATGACAACTGCCATGGTGGCTGCTCTAGGCCAGGTCTCACAAGAGAACAGTGAGAACAGAGCCCTCAAATGACCCTCACTGGGCATGTACCATAAGCAAGAAATAAACCTTTGTTTGAAGCCACTAAGATTTGGAGGGTTATTTCTTACTGTGGCATCCCCTCCCCCATCCTGACTGATAAAAAGTTAATTTTTTGTGTTTTTCCCATTTACTGAGCACCTACTATGTACTAGGCCAAGTATTTTACATGCATTATATCATAGTATTCTCATGTAAACCCTGTGAAAGGGGGTACTGCTGCCACATTCTACAGAAGAGTTTACCAAGGCTTAGAGGAGACAAGCAACTTGTCCTGCCTGTGTTCCTAGGGGCTGAGACCTACGCCTGGCATCCAGAAGCTCCATCAGTATTGTTAAACTGCAGCCTCATACTGCCCCAGGCATCGGTCCATTTTCCCTTTCTCCCTCTCTTCCCTGGTCCCAGCTTCTTGGGAAGGTTAATCTCACTGGTTTTAGGCTTCTTCAAATGGATACAGCTCCCAGCTGCTGGCTGTGGACGCACCCCGTCCTCATCTCTCCCTTTGGCTCATCCTTCCTTCCCCAGTACCACAGAATGGAACATGATTCCACCTTCATCTTCCCCCAACATAAATGTTTCATAGGACGGCACCTGGCCACCTCTGCTATCAGTATCTCCAGCTTTGTGACCCAGATGGAGCCTGACTCAGATGGCCTGTTGGCCCTCTGCCACCCAAGCACCTCCCCCCAGGCAATGCCTGCCTAGCAAATGACACCTGAGTGGGTGGGTGGGTAGAGGGTGACACAGATTTCTGGCCACATCCTCCACCAACTCCACACCTCCATCCTTTGTCCTGCCTCCTCCTCCACCGAAGTGCTGGCCTCCACCGGTACGCAGACCACACTCTTCTCACTCCCAGTTCAATAGGCTTCTGACTGCTTTGCTCACCTGCAGTCCCTCCCTTGTCCTCACCTGCCTGTCATTCAACTTTCTAAAGCACAGTCCTGACCAAGGAGCTTCAGCTGCCTAGAAAATCAATTTCAGATTCCTCAGCCGAGCTTACAAAGACCTGATCCCAGTTTAAATTCACTTGAGAAAAAAGTTTACCAAGCCCTTTCTATATGCTAGGCACTGTGCTGGAGATACAAATATGGGTAGACAAGGGACAAGGCCGTGCCTCACAATAGAGAAGACCACAATAGAGGGGGAGAGAGAAATACTTATCTGAAGGCCTCGATTTCCTTCTATCTTTCTCTTTCTCTCACCTACGTACAACCCAACCCTAATATTTTCAAGATCCTGATTTCCAATTAATTCTTCCCATTAATACAGACTTATATTTTCATGCCACAACAGATGACACTAGTACATCTGCCCTAGGTGTGGCAGATCAGCATCACGCTCTCTCTCGGGCAGCTGTTCCTGCTCCAGTGCCTGTCTCCTTCAGAACCTCACCCTCCCCGGCCACCCAAGGCCTGCCCTCATCAATCCCAAAGAAAAGCAAGTGATGAAGTCATTCATCCAAATAGCCTAGGTCCCACCCTGTCATGCCGGGTCAGAATCTCCAGGGTTATTTCTTTTGAAAGCTCAGCCAGGCTTAAGAGCCAATGGCTTAATGATGCTCTGTCACCCCTCCCAAGAATAGTCATAGGAATGAGGCTATCCATAACTCAAAGGATTGTCTCACTGATGGTAGAATCTCAGGCACCCTGAAGCGTAGTTAGCAAATGCATTTCTGGAGCATGTGTAGTGTGGGGATAGGACAGTAGAGAGAATGAGAGAGGAGTGTTTGTGATTCCAGCATCCCATGACCTTAATATGAAGGACCAGGGCCCGTTCTACTCCTCTTTGGTGCAAAGCTGCTAAATCTTCCTTTCCCCTTCTTTCTTAACATGGTCACCCTCCACTTTTCTTCCCACTGCCCACTCCAAGATTTGCGTCACCCCTCTCCCAGTCGCTCCCTCATCATAGGGAGAAAGCGCAGAGGAGAGTGAGATAGGGGTGGGGAGGAGGCAGCTCTGAAGTCAGGCAAGTGGCCTGGGTGCAATATTTGGAATCAAAGATTCTGTCCCTCACTGCCTGTGTGTTCAAAGTCAAGTTACCTGCTCAGAGCCTTATCTATAAAATGGGAGGATTATTCATTTCACTGGGTAGTGGTGAGGCTCTTCCAGATGATATATGTGAAAGCGCTTTGTAAAGTGTTATACGTATGTAAATGTGTGGCTCATTAAAAATGTCTCTGGAACACATTTGTTTCTTGGGACCTGCTGCCCCTGTCTGCCCTCCCACCATCCCTGCTCACCCGCGGCCAGCTGCATCCATGCGCAGATCTTGTAGACGGTGGCCGTGTTGCAGACGAAGAACAGGCTGAAGCAGATGATGGAGCCAATGATGAGGAACATGGCCAAGGCCACAAAGAACATGGCGGTCTTGAAAGCTCTGGAGGGGATGGAGGAGAAGTCCAAGGGGCCGCCCTTGCAGATGAGCTCGGAGGACAGCACATTGCCCACACAGTAGGAGAAAAGGCCGAAGTACCCTGCCTGGGGTGTGTTGACGCTGTCACCGATCCAGTAGGGTTGGATGAAGAGAGCCATGACCAGCACGGAGAAGCAGATGGTGAGCGTGCCCCACATCACACCTATGGCCCTCGAGTTCCGCACATAGTTGGTATGGTAGATCTTGGCTGCCTCCTGGGCAGGCAGCAACTTCACCATGGTGAGAGCAGCAGCTAAAATTTGCTGACTTTGTGGTTGGAGGCCCGGAAATAGGCCCCTCCTCAGCTGGGATTAGGGAAGACACTGAGGTCAGGACATGAGGTGAGGGTCCCTCCAAGGTAGGGGAAAGAGAACTGGTAAGACAGGAAGGACAACCTTGGCCCATTCAAGGGAAGCTTGTCTGGTGCCTGGGTCCGCTGTAGCCGGGCCTGTCTCCCGTCTCCTGCCTCCTCTCTGGCCCGCCAAGGTCTGCAGGCCTGCCAGCGCCGCCCGGCCCCCCTTTCCAGCACAGAGCTCCGGAGAGCTCCGCCCCCTTCGCCCGGGCCCGGCCTCCTCCCTCCCTCCTCGGAGAGGGAGTGTTTCAGCACCGCGGCCAGCGCCCTGGGGGCTCCAGTGGGAGGGGGCGGAGCCGGGCGGCTGCAGAGTGAGGAAAGGAGCAGATCCCGGCGCGGGGAGGCGCGGGGAGGCGCGGGGAGGCGCGGGGAGGCGCGGGGAGGCGCGGGGAGGCGCCTAACCCACCCCGACTCAACGGAAAACCGAGATTCGCTTCACCCTCCTGAGCCGGGATAGCAAGAATCGGGAGGGTGGAGTTGTGGCTGTCACCTTCCTCCGCTCAATTCCAGCCACAAAACCGCTTCCCGAACTCCATCCTTACCCAACCCCAGCCCTCCCTGCCTCCCTCGTCGCTTTCCTGCAACCTCCAAACCCCCCGGGGGCCAGCATCTTTCCTGCTTCTGACTGCCGGTCACTGGTCTCTCGTCCCTATA